TTTTGCTCAGATGTCCATCAATTGGAGCCGCCGTCGGGGACAGCCATTAATGCGCTGCCCACGTCGACTGGACAACGCGAGGATGTGCGCGCCGGGTGCCGCGGAGGACCGCGGGCAGTATCATTGTTTGGAGGCAGGAGGCGAATGGGGCAGTGCAGGGAATGACGGAATTGACGGAGCGCAAGCGCGTGGAGGACCAGGGCGATTGGTTTCTTGGAGTGCAGGGCGAGTTTCGCCGAGGAGCTTTCAGAACGCTCGCGCAATCGTTGGCATGGCAGACCGACATGTTCCGGGGTCGCGGGTGAGCGATGCACCGTTGCGCGGGAACGCGCGTTGTGTTAGAGACGCAGAGGCAGTTGCGAAGCAGAGCCAGCTCGAGTGCGAGGGGTGCCAAGTTGAGCGAGAGAGGAGAGAGGAGAAAACTCGTCGCGACGTCGCCGGAAGATGCGCGGTTTCGCGAGGATCAGTTTGTCGACGCCGTCGCCATCTATGCGAATCAGGACATTCGCTGCCGCGTCGGGAAGCAGAGGGCTGTTCCGTCGGCAAGGAGCGGGGGGAACGGCTGCTTCGGGTCGCGGCCAGAGACCGCCCGAAACGTGATGGGGAACAGAGGCGGCCGTGCGCCGTGGAAGACAATGCGGTGGCTGGGGTACCGCGGCGAGGAGTGCGCAAGCTTGCCGGGGTGGTTGCCGCTGGCGAAGGGGATGCCTGTAGCTTCGGGAGATCACTTGGGTCGGTCGAAGAAGCAGCTGTTGCGGGGCCGCGCGGCGACGATCCATGGACGGGCGTTGCACGAGGGCGAGGTCCTGGGAGATGAAGACGAGAAAGTCTTGTTGCATTTGCCGAGAGCGATTGTGGTGCGTTTTTCATACGGAGGAGTGGCACCTGCCAGGCTGGGGGCCAGGTTTGCATCCGATCTCCCCATCGACAGGGCGGCAATGGTCCTTGGTCGCGTGCCGGAAGCATCCAGCATTGAGTGTGAAACGCGCGCAGTTCACGATCACCCCGTCTTTGGCAGCGACGGTGCGCGCAGCGCGGGGTCGGGCCATGGGGGTCGTCATAGCGGACCTTGAAAAAGGGCCCGGCGTGAGTTGGACGTCAAGTTGCGTTGCTGTCGCGCGTGTGCGCAGACGAGGGGGCCCTTTTGATTGTCCGGCCTTGTGATGGGAGGCCGCGCGTCGACCTTGCGGGTGCCCCGAGGGGGGCGCGCGGGCTGGGGTGAGCGGGGGGCGCAATTGATGTCGCGGGACCAGCGCGAGCGGTGACGGCGGAGATTGCTTGTAGGGGCGTTTACGGAGTACGAGTTCCAGAAGAGGGAGAGGTCGGCGTTTGGTAAGGAACGCGCCGCGGAAATGAAGAGCAAGGATGAAGTGGCGCGAGGCGTGCAACGGGTGGGCAAGCAAAGCGGAGGGCGATGTTCCGACGCGGCATGGCGGCGATTGGGGCGTGGCGGGATATGGCGACGGGGGGGGGGGGGGGGCGAAAAAAGATTGGGGCTCTGTGCTGCGCGGAGTGCAGGGGTGTCAAGTCGAAGAACAAGTCGCGTAGCAGGGGCGCGAAGTGGAGAGAGAGAGAGAGAGAAAGAACGCCTGCGCTGTGCGATGTTCAAACAAAGCGCGCCTTTCGCATTCCGGCGACTGGGCGGCCATGTCGGAGGCGCAAACAGACGCGCCGCGGCTGGGGAGAGACTGCGTCGGACAAGCGCCGAGGCAAAATAAAGGGCGACGCGAGCAGCAACTGCAGAGACAGCGAACCGCAGGAGGAAGGCAGTGGCGGAAACGACGTCGTTGACGTGCTGCGTTCCAGGTTGCGTTTTTTTTTTTTGGGGGGGGGTTGCAGATCATTTGACTCGCGGCCAGAAGAAGGACCATCGGACGAGGAAAGGAACGAGAGTGGTGCGCGGGGGCAGCAGCATGCGCGGCAGAACCTCGCAGGGAGCACGCAATGAGCCGAAGCTCCTGCAGCCACTGCTGGCGCGTGCGTCCTGCGAGAAAGAGTTCGCCTGGCAGGAGCGCGTCAGCGACGATCAAGTGAGTGGGCACTTCGCAAGGGGAGTAATGTTATCGCATTGCCGACGGGCTCACGGTGCGCAGTTGGCAAGCCTACTAGTGCAGTGGCACATGCCAAAATACACGGCCGAAGTCGGCCTTCGCCGTGGACGGTAGCATCGTGGCGCGCGACGCAAAGAAGGGCATCCTCAAACGCAAATCATACATGTGATACCCGTTTTCAGCGCCAATGCCATCACGAATGGCGGCCCAAAGAGGCGCCCGCGGTGGACTGCAGGGGTGTTTCGTGCAAGGTTTCGCGGCGTGCTTCGTGAAGGGTTTTGGGGGGTGCTTCGTTGGGTATCCCGTGTAGTGTATCGTGGGGTGTTTCGTGGGGCGCTTCGTGCAGTGTTGGCAGCTGTGTCTTGTGCTGTGTTGCGTTTGGTATTTCGTGGGGTGTTTCGCGTGGTGCTGGTGCTCCGCGTGGCGTGGACCCGTGGTGCCTGGATTGCGGACGAGAGTGACGCGGCTCAAGTGGCACCATTTGAGGCACATTTGCCAACAGGGAGGGGAGAGGTTCGGAGACTGAGAACGAGGGGAGGAACGGGGAGGAGGACGAGAAGGAGGAGGGCGATGATTAGGATATGGGGATGAAGAAGGCGACGACGGCGACGACGAGGATAGAGGGTTCATTGATGTTGATCGGGATTTCGTGGTTGGCCTCTTTGGTGGCCTCCTGGAGCCAGGTTCGAGGCCTCGTGGCTGCCGTTTTGGAGCCTCTTGGGGCCTCTTTCCGGCTTTTTGGGCGCTTCCTGGGGCGTATTTTAGACCTCTTGACGGCCTCCTGGGGACCCCTTGGGGCCTCTTGGGGGTTTCTTGGGGTTTCCTGGCGACCTCTTGCGGCAGAACACTGGAGCTTTCCAGTTGTGGTTCCCCTCTGGGCTCTCTGCGGGGCCCGTCTTGGGACTCTCTTGGGCCGTCTCGGGCGCCTCTTGGGCCGTCTTGGAGGTCTCTTGGGCCGTCTTGGGTCGTTTTTGTAGGCCTCCTGGGCCGTCCTGAAGCGGTCTTGGGGGGCTCGCGCGTTGTATTGGAATGGGACAACCGACAAGGCGAGTTTGCTAAACATGTACGCTTTACGAAGGAAGCGGTACCATTTTCGCGTCGGGGGACCCTCTTGGAACGCATGTTCGGGGCCTCTTGGGATGTTTTGGGGGCTTCGGAGGCCGTCTGGAGACCATCGTCGGCGTTTTGGAGCGGTGCTTCGGCCGCTCGTGGCCCTCTTGGACCGTCCGGGGGTCGTCTTGGTGCCCTCTTGGACCGTTTTGCCCCTCCCCCCCCGCCCCTGACACGCATTGTCCGGGACCTTCCGCGGCCCGGGGGGGGGGGGGGGAAAATTGCCGATTTGGGGTCCCCAATGGGGGGATCATGGGGGAGGGCAATCTCACACGCCTACAGACCCACAAGGGGGCGGCGGATATACATATAATATGTCACGCAGTTCGCGAATGAAACGCCGTGGCATGGAACTACGAACGGTGAAAACCATGCAATGAAAGCTCTGGGTGTGTATTTCGACCGGAATGGCCGCAGCCAGCAGGACATCCTGAAGAAATCGTTTGCTATGTAATCAATCATTTTGTGTTGATGCTGGTCACGTGCTGAGTTGCAAGAGCAGCTCCCAGAATGAACGTCTTGAACTCATTCGAAGGATCTTTCAAGGTGTCGGCTTATGGTCTGCGGGAGTACGGGTTTACAGACACTGCAGTCTGTCCCGCTTACGTTCGACCCAAAACGAGATTTCCCGAAAACATTTTGGGTTCCACCGTATAGTTTCTAAGACTGATGAACAGTATGCCAGGCGACAAAACCGGGAGCTCCACAGTCTAAACCATACGTTGAACTTCCCAGATCTAGACGTGGTCGCCGCCAGGCGCGCGTACAGGTACGCGGGCTACGTGGCCCGACAGATAGAGTATGACCCATGCCGTTCAACATCGCAAGTGCTGCAGTGGAACTGTCAGCACGTTGCTCGTCAGAACGTCCGCAAAGCTTCGGACCAGCAGGGATTTATAAGATACACAACCAGTGGACATGGGAAGGCCAGTTTGCTAAATTAAATGGCACGGTGAGCCGTGACTGGATGGAAGTGGCTACAAGCAGACGCGATTGGAAGTCTCACGAGGACGCGTGGAGTCGACATGTCTTGGGCAAAGCGGCGGAAACCGCACTATTTTGAATTGTCTGTTCCTTGGTTTTCTAGTTTGAACCAACTTGAACCAGCATGGGGTGCTGCCGGTATTTCAACACTCCCGGGGCAGTTCACAACAATATCATCATCATCATCATCATCATCATCATCATCATCATCATCATCATCATCATCAGCATCATCATAATCAACATCATGATGATCATCATCATCATCGTCATCATCGTCATCATCATCATCATCATCATCATCATCATCATCATCATCATCATACACGACCATCCTCTTCGTGAGCTTTGTCTCTCGTTCTCCCCTTGTTTTTGTCCCATCCTCCGCATCCTCATGCTCAGCCTTATTCTCCTGCTGATAGTGCCTCCGCGCCCGCCCGCCTCCCCGCTCTTGTTGTCACGGGCAGAGGCTGCCCCATTCCGTCCCATCGATGGCTTGCGCGATGCAGGGTAAGCGGCCCTTGCCTGGTACCCAGGACAACCGTTCCATCACCTTGGGTCGGATCGCTCGATACGCGTATAATGCCGTCGCCGTCATCTTGGATCGGTCAGGGAGATGTTTCGCCAGTCGCCCGCAGGTCCACGGCACCCGTGTCTCGCGGCTTGTCGAATCTCTCCGCTGCTGTTCTGACAGCGCCTACAACCTTCTTTCGCTCAACAAGCTGTTGATGTCTCTGTCATCGCGCTACAGTGCCGTTCCCATCATATCAACCGTTGCTATCCTCAGGATTGTGCTCTGCTTTAGCCTCGTCTGCTAATTTCGGATTCGTGTTTGAATCGGCTTCAATGTCCCAGGTGGAATGGCCAGATGCCATGCGACATGTCCTGGATTGGATTTCGCTGTTCACCTTGGACATGGAAGTCTTTAACTTCTCCTGCGTAGCAAGAACATCCCCACTGCAGGAGTATTTCTTTTGTGTCTGGTTCATGCTGGCTTTCCAGGTGGCGAATTGGATGTTGTCTTACGCCCCCCTATCCCAGACGAATGCATTTCACATCACGTGATGCCAGGAGGGTGGGATGTCCACACTCGGATGCCATTTTAGTTAGCCAATGAATGACAGCGATTTGCGATTGGAGACAGGGGATGCCTGTCAAAGCTTTGTCGCACAGAGCCCTTATCATCGTCAAGACGCGCACGCCGCTTTTCTCACCACCCTCTTGGTGGCTCACTCGTGGCTGGGGAAAGCGAGCGACCTGGAATACCGTTTGCGCTGGAGACCGGGTGGTGGATTTGTTGGTTGAGGAACCGTATTCTAGAGAGCGATTTTTTTGAACGTAGTTTTTGTCTGGGTGGCAGCTCTTGCTCGGACGCAGGAATCCAGATTCCCGGAGTTTCGCCTCGAGTGGTTCCGCTGTGCAATGATCTTCCAGCCTTTTGGGTGCTCGCAGAGAGATTGAGATCCTGAACTGCCAAGCTGCTGAGCGGGATATTTGCGATGGCTTTCCCCCCAGAGTCCTATTTGGTCGAGGACGCCTGAGGGGAATGACCGCCGCCCCCAGCCGCAGGAAACGCCGATGTGGCCGAGCGTTGTGGCCAGGTCCTGGACAAGCTATCTGACTATATGCTTCCCGAGCCGTAGTGGAAAACCTCCGGGGAACATGCGGGGGAGGATGATGGAGACCATCAGGAGAGCGAGGAGGAGGAGGAGGAGGAGGAGGAGGAGGAGGAGGAGGTAGGGAGGAGGAGGAGGAGGGGGAGGAGGAAGAGGAGGAGGAGGAGGAGGAGGAGGAGGAGGGGAATAGTACGGAGTACGGAGTACGGAGGCTGAGGGACGCAATGTCCCGTCACGGCCGCCGCCGCACCGCGCTCTGGGCAGGACGCGGGGCGACCTTTCCTTAGCGTAGGCTGAAACCTGGGTTTAACCCCAGGCTCAGCCCACGCCGACCTTGTGGTCGATGGCCTTCTGGTGCACCGTCGGGCTGTGCTTGGCCCAGCAGTCGATGCAGAAGTGCCACTCGCAATCGGCGCAATCCGCGATGCAGTTGACGACGGTGTCGCCAGCCACGAAGTACTCGCCCGCCTCGAGGCACAGCTGGCAGTCGGCACGATCATGGCGGCCAGCCCGTGCCCCTCTAAGCACTGGGAGGAGCGCATGGCCGTGACGACGGCCTCCCGCCGCATCCCGTAGAGCTGCCGCAGCGCAGCCCTGTCGTTGGACGCGTTAGTCGTCTGCCGAGAGCCAGTCTAGCGAGTTGGTGGCCACCGTCTCCTCGATGATGCCCAGCTCCACGTCGACCCCGCCGGCCCTCGCATCCACCAGGGCCACGTCGGCGATGGCCTTCTGGTGCACCTCCTCTGCCTTCTTGGCCTCCGCGGTGGCGGCGGCCAGCAGGTCCTCGAGGTCGGTGAGGCGGTCGGCGGCAGCAGCAAGCTCGTCGTGCAGCGCCTGATCCACCTCGGTGCCGTTGCACTGCGCGGTGGCGATCGCGAGCGCGGCCGTGTTCAGCCGCTCAGTGGCGCCAAGGAGGAGGCCCTCCAGCTCGGCGACCCTGTCCTTGACATCCAGGGGCTCCAGCACCGTCATCTCATTCGCCAGCGGCGCCTGCGGGACCGTCTCGGCCCCCAGGCTCTGGCCCTCGATGGTGTCGAAGTGCACCTTCTCGATGTACTCGGTGCCGTTGTGACGCACGGTCACGTTCACCACGTCGTTGCCGACGTCGTCGCTCAGCGTCGCCGTCTCCAGCTGCACCTTCTCCACCTGGCGATTGGCGAGCCTCCAGCTCGCCGCGAAGCCGTCGCCGAAGGCCTGGGCCTCCGCAGAAGGGTCGCTCTTGTGCCACGCGCCTGGCGCCAACCACTCGGCCAGCGATGCGCGCGGCGGCTCGTCAGCAAGCGGCACGTCCTGCTGCGCCTGCTGCGCGGCCCGCACCGTGTGGGCCATGCCCAGCCGCGGTCCAGCGGCTGCCCACTCGATGTCCTGGGCGGATGCGCTGGCAAACCCGCCAGGGGGCACCCGCTGGGAGTGCCAGGAAGCGTTGCGCCTCCTCCGCCACGCCCCGGGGACGCGCTCGCCTGAGGCGAGCCGCTGAAAGGCGGGCCTGGACCCGCTCGCGGTCCTGCCAGCTGCCCGGGCCATCAGCGCGAACTGCATCTCGAAGTCCCGCCTCGCACGCTTCCCGCCTCCTGCGGCGGGCGGTCTGGCGGGCGGCGGATGCGCCGAGGGCGATGGCCTCAGAGGCGCGCAACTGGCTGGGCAGCCATAGGCCCTCGCCGCCCCTCGTCGCCACGACGTCCGCCCGGGGCGCCATCGTCCAGAAATGGCAATGGCGGCAAGCGGGAAGACACGGCTTGAGCCAAAATGGCTACGGGGGAGGAGGCGGAGGAGGAGGAGGAGGAGGGGGGAGGAGGGAGGAGGGAGGAGGGAGGAGGAGGAGGGAGAAGGAGGAGGAGGAGGAGGAGGAGGAGGAGAAGGAGGAGGAGGAGGGATGAGGAGGTGGAGGGGAACCTCTCGGGAGCCTCTTTAGGCATTGTTGGGGCCTCCTGGGAGCTTCCTGGGGGCCTCTGGAGGCCTCTTGGGGGCCCACTGGGGGCCTCTTGGGGGCCTTTGGGGGCTCCTTATGGGCCCATTTGGCAGTCTTAGGGCGCTCCTGGCCCGCCTGACGCCGTCGGAAGCCGTCTTGGGGGCCTCTGGGCTGCCTTGGCACGTTCTTGGGGCGCTTCAGGGTCGTCTTGGACGCCATCTTGGGCGTCTTGGAGGCCTCTTGAGCCGTCGTGGGGCCCTTTGGAGGCTGGCTTGGGGACCGTCTTGGGCTGTCACAGAACCAGCTGGGAGGCCTTTTGGGCGCTCAAGCTGTCAGGCAACGCGCCCTCTCTGTGCAGGCATGGTGGCGGATTTCCCTCCCTCTGGTCGCGCCTCTCGCCTCCCCTTTGAGGAGGGAGAGAGGGCGGGGTAAAGCACAGCGGTTGACCACCAGCCTCGTTCGCGTGTGGAGACAGATCGAATAATGAAAGGGAGTGGGTGAGTGGGTGAAGGAGCGAAATTGCGGCGGAGGGGTGGTGAGGAGTACGTGTAGGGTGCTTGTATCTTGCGCATCTGGTGCGCATCATGCAACTGCTGCGCGTAGTACTGCTTGTCCTCGTGCGACTGGTAGGTCAAACACACTGCCTGGCGCTGTTGTCGCCTCTCTGGTGCTGGAGGTGGCAGAAGTGTCGTGTAGATCGACAGGCGTCGGCAGGTGCCGTTTTCCAGGAAACACGATCGGGTTGGTGGTTCCATTGTGTCACGCAGCATGGGCCCAGCATTCTCTGGCCATTTCAGGGAGCAATGGGCTGTAGCGGTCATGTGCCATGCCAGTTTGAGGAAGTCGCTCTGAGACGCTCCCAAGAACAGTGCTTGAACACAAGTTGGCTCCCTGGGATGTCTCGGGATTCTGTATTCGAGTCAATGTATCAAAACTGTCTGCCATATTTTTTGTATTATTCTCCTGCGCACACTGCACTGCGTGTTCAAACGGAATGTGTTGTGTCAAAGAGAGTGTTCCGTTCCAGCGTTTCGTCATCAGCATCTTCACAATGGCCGCGGCTGGCATCGTTCTCGCCTTGGTCCGCCCACCGTTGATGTCGAAGATGACGACGACGACGACCACGATCACGATATTAGCGTCTGCGCGTCAACGATCTCAGCGACCCCGATTGCGGTGGCTGTGAACTGTACCTAAATTGCTCCCCGTCCCACCTGCCGTGCTTGGCCTCTGGCCAGTTACTGGGACAGGGTCGCGCTGCAGACGGCAGGACGGGCGCAGATTCTTGCGAGTTTTTGTTCCTCAGCAGGTGATCTCAGACTGCCCTAACATCATTCGCGTTCGCCGCAATAGCTTCGGGAACGGTGATACGGCTGGCGATGATGATGCTGACGGCGCTGGTGATAGTGACGTGAATGATGTTGGTGGTGATGGTGATGGTTGTGGTGTTAATGATGATGATGCTGATGATGATGCTGATGATGATGCTGATAAGGATGATGATGCTGATGCTGCTGCTGATGATGATGATGGCGGTGGCGGTGGTGGTGATGACGATTGTGTTAAATTTGTATGTTTGGCGACGGCCGTCACCGCGATTACCATACATATGATTTTGAGGCGAACCGGGCGGGGTTTGTGAGGGGCCCTCCAGGTCCATATCGTCGTTGTGCTGATATGCCACAAGGGCGACTTTCGTGGTCGCTCCACGTCGCTGATTGCCAGCACAGGCATTCTTCAGAAGGGAAGTGTAATAAGACGGAAGTAATCCAGATATAGCATTTGGGAGCCGTACACGGGGGATGCTCAGGAGTGTGCGGTGGAAGCCTGAGAACTTCGATGGGTATTGGATACGCAGGCGAGAGCTTCGATATTGCAGCCATAGTGTATCGCATTGCCATAGATATCGGGGGAAGTCTTTCAGGGATAATTGGTTGGGGCTGGTCCAACGCTGAGAAAGCGTTGCTACCCCCCTCTCCCGACTTGCTTTTCGCGGTTTTCAAAGTAGTGTTGAATGGCCACGGGTGCGGATGGAGTGAACGCACCTAGGCCTTTGTGTTCTGGTCCGATGTACGGCAACAGCAGGAAATGTGTATAGCCTATAAACCAAGACGCTGCGAATGAAAAAAAACATGGCTTCCTCATGTCTCATCCCAGAAATTCAAAACATTCCTGTGACAATACAAGGTTTGCGATGCCATGGGTGCGGAAGCCTGGTGTTTCCACTTGGATGTTTGGTATTTCTTGGGTGAGAAATCAATCCAGGAAACCATTTGTGTGTTCACGTGGGTTTTTGAGTTCTTTTGACTTTGGGGATCGGAGCTCCTGGG